ATTCTTACTTTACAGCATTTTTTCACACCTGCTTAAAACTTTTGCACAGTACTGTATATTTAGGTTTCTCTGCCTGTGGGCCTTCACAGCACCATCATAAAACAACCCATTTAAAATGGTCTTCCTCCATAAATAATGAACACACTGGAGCTTCACACCCAGAATGAGGTCTTGCTTCCTAAGGGAGTAAGGCAGCTAATTGTGAATGTCTTTGTACAGAATGTCATGACACAGATACTAGAATTCTAAATCTTCCCAGTCAAAACACCCAACCACTGAAAATCTCTCAGCGCCAGACCAGAGAGTTGTGGCTATGGAAGTCCCATCCCTTCCTGCAATCCTACACTTCATCAAAGCAGTCAGAAGTCCAAAGAGATCCTTGTGGCCAGCGTACCAATTGCTTACTCCAATTCCCCTGAGTGCTCTTTCACAATCCAGTCTTTTACATGGTTTTCTCTCATGATGAGGTAGTGAGGCTTCAGCTCATACTAAAACACTCCCCACTTTTCCCTTCTATGGTATGGATCTTATGATGCTTATTAAGGTTGGCCCTCTGAATAAAGCTTTTCCCACAGTCTGAGCACTCAAATGGTTTCTCCCCAGTGTGGATCCTCTGATGTCGGTTAAGATTTGAATTGCTACTGAATCTTCTCCCGCAGATAGGGCATTTATGTGGCTTCTCTCCTGTGTGGATTCTTTGGTGACGGTAAAGCACTGAACTGGACCGAAAGGTTTTCCCACAAGCAGCACATTCATATGGCTTCTCCCCAGTGTGGGTCCTCTGGTGAATGATGAGCTTAGAGCTAGAAAGAAAGAATTTCCCACAGACCAAGCATTTATGTGCTTTTCCTCCTGTACGACGGTTCTTAACCACAGTGGAGCTCTGATTCAAATTTCTGCCATAGGCTCGGGAGATGTTTTGTTTCTTACCAGTGTCAGTTCCTGTCTGGATTGTGGCTACAATGATAGTCTTGTAATCTCCCCCGTAAAGGGCAGATTCATCTGCTTCACCTCCTGTAAAGGTGCTCTGTTGACATTCCAGTCTCTCCTGACTAGTTGAGGCCTTTTCCTGCACACAACACTGAGGAACAACCTCTTCTGCTTTCCACAGGGACACCTCACAAGGCCCTGCATGCTCAGGATCTTCAGCCACACCTCTCTCTCTCTCTTGTACGGTCATCCATCCCTTACCTGCTTGAGAAAGGAGAGAATTCCAATGACTCACTCCTTGGGCTTGAGAAAAATAGAACTTGAAAACAGGGAAAAAAAGACAGTCAAGAAAAACTAGCTCCCCTCTCAGATCTCATTCAGAAGGAAAAGTAGCAATAGAAAGATGCCACAGGGCACTGAAGATGCCCAGCATTGGCATGTTTCTAACAACTTCTCACTCTGAGCAAAATAGAGCAGACTTGCTAGAATCTTACCTTACTTTAATATATATATAGTTACAAACCAAGTTTAATGCCTCACGGAGAACATGCTCCTACCTCATCTCTACACACAAAAAGACCCTTTAGGGATATGAGAGTAAGTATTATCTTTACCAAGCAGATAGAGCCATATTTCCCTGACCCCTTGTCATGTTTCAAATCCAAGGCAAACCCTGCTCTCCTGGGGGTATTGAGAGCAACTTGTTGGTACTCCTCCTTGGTTCCTCCCTGGGGAAGAAACTCACAACTGACATGTTGATCCACATTCACCGAACCCAAATGGGAAGCCTGCTAACAACAGGCCACATGCAGCCTCTGAATTCTTTTTTGATGGCCCCACAGGCTCCTCCGATCACACTGCTGAATAAACCAGTGTGGCTTGCACCTTTCTGAGACCTGAAACATTCATACAGTGGCCAGTCACCTGAAAAAAAGCTGAACACTTAAAAACAAAACAAAGAATCCTCTCAATGAGAAACAAAACAAAACAAAATCCCTGTTCATATGTATGATGCATCACTATCCTGCCCAAAGGATAGGTCTGCCAGAAACAATTAAATGCAGCTCTTGAACACTTTGTCACTATAAAGAGCTGGATTAAGGAACAGAAGGAACTTTCCAGGACTTCAGGGGTTTCTACCCATTTCCTTCTGACAGGCAGCTTTGGCTGTCTCCCCAATTCTATTCTTTCTTAGAGTAGTCAAACCTCCCTCTATTCCATGTCAGCCTATTGTCTTTTAGTACTGATGGAAGATGTACTACTGAAGGCTACAGCTGAGTTGGGTAGGTATCTGGGTAGTGCAGAGTTGGGAAGTACTCAGATCAGCCTGGAGCTCTTATGGCCACACAGAATGGCTTTGAAGTGTGTTTCCAACCTCAGTTGGAATACTGTGTAGAAAAGGAAACAGTCTCAAGAGAAATACTTTGTAGGATCATCTGCAAAACCTCAGGAACATTCCTGGGCTTTCCCCCCATGTCATTCCTTTCCTTAGAAGGCAATAGAGAAGTTACTGAATGTCAAATCTCTACAGTAACCATTAGGACTGGAGAAGAATAGCCAAGGAACAATCCCTCTGATCTCAATACGATTTATTAGGAAAAGGTTGAAGTGAGAGCACAAGAATCCTGGCAAGTAACCTTACTCTCAAATATGGATCCTAAATACAGGTAGTCCTTGACTTACATTCGTTCAGCGACCATTCAAAGTTACAACGGTGCTGAAAAAGGAGACTTACAACCAGTCCTTGAAGTTGCGAATATCCCAGCACCCTTGCGGTCACATCTGGGTGACTGGCAATCCATTCTCACTTACGACTGGTTGCCAAGCATCCCGCAATCACATGATCACCATTTGCAACGGTGCAGGTTTCCCCAGAAAGTCAAAGGGGAAGCCGCAGGACAGACTGCAAGTTGCTGGGGTAAGTCTCCCCCACCTGCATATCCTCCCCCTGCCCCTCTGTGCTTGCGCCATGCCAGCCACTCGTGCACCCCTGCGCACCCGACCTGTGGCACACCCCTGTGCACCCTCCCTGATCTGGGTGGAAGCTCTCACGCATCCTCTCTGACCTGTGCGGCACCTCTTGTGCACCCTCCCTGACTCACACGGCACCTCTCACACACCCTCCCTGACTCATGCAGCGCCTATCGCACCACCCTCACATACCCTCCCTGACCCATGCGGTGGCCCTCACGCACCCTTGCGCACCCTCCCTGACCCGCACAGCACCTCATGGACCCTTGTGTACCCTCCCCCTTGCTCTCTCCCTCACCCGACAGCAGCCACTTACCTACCTGCGGGCTTTGGACTTGCAATTTACTGCCAGCTTCCCCACTGACTCTGGTTGTGAGAAGCCAGCAGGAAGTTACCTTGCCTAATAACCATGGGATTCAGTTAATGACAGCAACCAGGACTGCAGGGATTTCTGTCCCTAAGCTTCGTGACAGAAATTCTGGTTCCAATTGCCTGCATAGGCAATTCAAAGATGTTGGATTCTCCCAGTGTAACAGGGAATACACCACTCTCTTCTGAGAAGCCAGGCCAGGCTACACCTGCGTTTCTTTTACATAATAGATGCTAGCTACGCTGTAAGTATGAGAATCCTCTCTTACATCAGGTCTCTCTGAAAAGAAACTTCACCAGAAAGCAGCCCAGCAGGAATTCAGGTTCAAGACATTCCTCTTACCAAACAGGCCAGCATCATGCTCATCTTCCTGCTTGGGTGCTCCGTATAGCTGCTTCTGTTCAGTATCAGCTGCAGCACATTCTGCCCCAGAGAAATTCACAGTCACTTTCTCAAAAGCTACCTGCAACAACAACAACAATAGTCCCAGAGAAAGTGCTAAGACAATCATTAAATACAAGAGTCCAGGTCTGTTCCTCATTCTGTACTTAACTGCGCCCTGAATTTCTTTGAAACTATGCAGATTATCTTTTAGAAATTTTCTGTAAGAGCCAACGCAACGTAACTTGAGAAGGGCCCTGTTGGATCAAGCCGAGGCTGCTTCTCATGGTGGCCTTTGGAGCATTTACAAGCAAGAGATGGAGATCTACTATTTTCTTCCTCTTCAGCTGGTATTCAGCAGCAAGCTGCTCCCAAACCAGAGGTAACATTCTGCCTTTAAGACTGCGGCATCCCTCCATGAATTTAGCTAATCCTCTTTTAAAGCTGTCTAGGCTAGTGGCCATCACTATGTCTTGTGTTAATGAATTCCACAGGGAAATTATGTGCTCTGCAAAGCAGTACTTTCTTTTGTCTGTTCCAACTCTCTTTCCAAATAGTTTCAATGGATGGAAGGAAAAAAAACCCTCTTCCCTGCCCAAGTTCTCCATGCCATGCATGATTTTTAATTGGGCTTTTTGGTCAGATGTACATTCCGCTGTTCCCTTACAAGTTCAGAATAGTGCACATAGCACTTCCTCCTCCAGTCTTCCTCTACATTATCCCGGTGAATTAGGCATGATGGTCTGTCTAACAGACCCCGGGAACAGGGAGGAGGGAGCCCAACCATTACGGAAGAGATTACCAGTCCAGGGGAGGCGGAGTGGGGAGTAACTCTGCTTTAATTATGCTAGGCATACATTGAGCTAGGGAATTACCTTGACAGGCTTTTAAGTTTCTGTTACAATATCTTACTAGCAATAAGGAACTTTCCAGAAATCCAAGTGGCTCTTGATTCCTAAGTTGTCTGCCATGATGGGCTTGACAGTAGGTTAGGCTAAAAGAGTGTGGCTGGCTTAGTTACCCGTCAGCTGTCATGAATGAGGATGGACTTAAACCTGGGTCCCTCCCAATCCAAAACCTTAACTACTATAACATCCTACCTCTTCTATTTTGAGTGGAGTCAAGGTTTTTTTTTTTACCCAATGAGCATCACTTTGAACTGAATTCAACTGGGCCACATTTGCCATTGAATTGATCGTTCATCCAGTCTTCACAATTATATTTGGTTTTCACCACCCTATCATCCACAAACTAGACCACCTCACTAGGTCCCCTCACATCAAGATAATTTGCAAGCAAGTTAAAAAGCATGAGTTCCAACACAGATCCTCGAGGGATTCCACACTTACTTCTTCCCACTGAAACAACTGCCATTTTATTCCTGTTCTTTGCTTTCTTGTTAACAATCCACGAAAAGCCAGACCCTCTTATCCCATAACTGCATTGATGAGGGACATTTTCAAAGGCTTTTTGAAAATCTAGGTACCCAGTATCAACAAAGTCATTTCCACCTACAATCTCCAGGGCCATTTGAAGCTCAGAACACTTCCAATAAGATCAGAACAATGGTTTTAAACTTGAAACCAGAGTGTTTTGAGTTCAAATCATTTTGCATACCACTAGGGGCTGTTACAAACTCATCCTGAAGCCTATAGGGGAGTAGAGATAATGATTCTTGCATTCCTTCATCAAGGTTAAGAAAGCGACAAATCTATTCTGGGAAAGAAAATCAAAATAACCGCACCTTGATTTTGTTTGCTGTAAGAGTGGGAAGAAGGATACTCTGGCAGACTTTCAAGATTCTGTGGAATAGGATTCCTGAAATCCTTGCTCTGTTTTCTGACCTGGCCTCCTTTGAAGAACGGACACAGTCATAATGGCGGCAAAATTCATCAGTTAAAATTGATGCCTTTTGCCTGGAGCTTCCTTTGTCTTCCCTGAGATAAACAAAAATCTAGATCTCAAACGGGCTTTGTGCCACATAAGAACTTCATAAAGAAAAGGTCTCACCTGGGTTGCTTGTCTTTCAATCTCCTGCTGTTTATACAGAAAATCTTCAGCAAGGCTTACAGCCTGGGCACAAGTTTCCGGGCCATGCTGCCGTACCCAGCTCTGGACCTCTGGGGGCAGGATCATCAGGAACTGCTCCAGGACCAGCAGTTCCAAGATCTGCTCTTTTGTGTGTGTCTCAACCTTCAGCCATTGACGGCAAAGTTCTTGGAGTTGGCCATAAACAGCTCTTGGACCCTTGGCCTCCAAGTAGCAGAAACGCCTGAAGTGCTGGCGGCTTTTCTCTCTGCTGACAGCTTCTCCTCGCAAGAGGGCTGCCTTCACCTTTCCGTAATCCTCTCTGTCTCTGCCTTCCAACATGCTGAAGGCCGTCTCAGCTTCTCCACTGAGAGCTGGCAGGAGTCGAGTCACCCATTCTTCTTTGGGCCACCTACAGGCTTTGGCCACTTGCTCAAAGGAGGCTAAAAAAGCTTTGGTGTCATTCCAAGGGGTGGATGCCTCGGACAACTGAAGGATTTCCAGCCCGGAGGGAGGAGATTCCACTGTTTTCAGAAACTCTTGCCACTGGGCTTCCCAGCAATAGGCCAGATACTCTTCTGGTTCTTCTTTAACTGGATGAGTTGTCCTTGTGGAAAATCCTCCATTACTTTCAGATTGAATGGCTTCAGGGCAGTTACTTCCTCCCTCCACGCTGGGTTTGCAATCTAGAGCATCCTGGAGGATATTACAGGTTTTTTCTGTTCCTGTGGATTCCAGCCTTTGTGGATTGCCTGTGGGGTCTTGCTCCTCCATTTTCATCCTTGAGCCCTCTTACAAAGATAGCACTGAATTCTGGGATGGTAGGAAACAGGCCTTCTACAGTAAATGTAGTAATTTGGGCAGTTATGCTAAGCTTTTGCCCAGAAACAGAGCTGGAAACAGGTAAGAAAAAATGAATGGCCCGACTCTGGCACAGAGGTGCTACCATTGCTCATTAAATATACCGGCCATAGAATAAGTACATTTTCAAATTATGTAAAATTAATATTTTATTTCCAAACCTTGTAAATTCTTTATTTCACGCTTTAAGTGAGGAACCTTTTAGAGGATTATGTACAGTCAGGTCTTTATTAATAATGTCCTAAACATAATGATAAGCAAAGACTGGGTATAAAAGTTTAAGAAATCTCATCCTCAACAGATCAATCCAGTTCCAGGCTAACACAGGCCCATGGCCTAGATTCATGTGCCAATTGTGTCTAACCTGGCTTGAGGTAACAAGCCAGAAGCACAAAAGTAAAAGAAGGCAGCCAGTTGGCAATCTTGGGTTTAGTCAAGTGGATTAGAATGGCCCGAGTATGGGAACTACCTGTCTAGAAGAGGGAGTATCCAGGCTGGTCCACGACAGAAAGAAATAGTAACTCCAAGACAGCAGCACCATTAAATTCAATTAGCAGGACTGAGGATCCTTTTCAAAAGTAAGATTTGCATTTTGTGTTTCTCATTTTTGCCCGTTATAACGCATTAGCAGTGTGATAAAATATTACTATCACCTTCATTTCTAGACTGCCCTTCCTAAGCAGCCCCAATGTGGTTTAAATTAACGTTTAAATAATTTAAAACAACATTAAAATCAACAGAAACGCGTAGTAAAACCATTCCAAACTGCTAAACATCCTTAAAAGCCCGGTGAACTCAGTAGCCAGGAATGCACGAAAAGAATATGGAAAAAGCATTACGTTCACACGCTAGGTAGACAGCCATCCTCGCCCCCGCCCCCCCCCACCGCGACCACCTCCCTGCAACCCGCCCCCATACTGCAGCCCATAGAGTTGCTGAAAAGTGTGGGGTGGGGAGGCCTTCCTCGTTCAGAAGGAGCTGGACGAAGGGTCCTGCGCCAGACGGAGGGAGGGGCTGGGTCTCTCCTTTTCTCCCCTCCCTCTCCGGGAAGGCAGTTCTTCCAGCTCACCTCTCCGCGCGACAGCCCCGCTCAGATCTTCCTCGTCTGTTGCTGTTTTTCAGAGCCGAGGCTCACCCTTAATAAAAGTGCATTCACTGCTGTACATAGAGATAGAAAAACGTAAGAGTCACCGAAGACTGCGGTGCTTACCGTTAAATTTCCGGTTTGCTATGCACGTCTTTTCCTTAACTTCACCCAGGGCGGAAGTGGGAGCTACATATTAAAAAAAAAAAATGGGGGGCGGGTGGATTCAGATTTTTCCATTGGTGGTGGGTTAAAATTAAAATAGATTCTCCTGTACTACCATTGGGTTAGCCTGGCTTTTCCTTGGGAAAATAGATCTTCATTGTTATGTTTGATTTTATCGCCTGCTATTCTACGTTTAATTTTACAGTAATTTAACGTTTTGCATTTTTCTACTTGTGGAATCCTTGGTGCTCTGAGCTTGGTTGTTTGCGTGCAGACATTTCATTACCCAACTAGGTAACATCATGAGTGCATTTTTTTAATCTTGTAGGATATTTGGATTATCATTGATTGGGATTATCATTGACTGCATGCTCACGCAGGAACTCAAAGTAGGGGGAAAAATAAGAGTTAATGCTCTTATTAACCAAGGCCTTATTGCATATTATTTTTACCTGACATTTATAAATATATCAATGATTATGCTGCCAATGTTTTTATCATCATCCATTACTGTTATTCATAGCTTATAGTTAATCATTGATTAATATAAATGTTCCTTGCTTAATTTAAAGATTAAAGCATGACCCAAGAAGGAGTAGGCTTTCATCAAAAGCTTTATATTAGGAAGAAGTGAGAAGAGAAATACCAATTAAAACTAACACTATTATAATGGCCACATTGATTCCTACTGAACAGCTATTGTACTTTGGGAGAAAAAATAAGAATGGCCTTAGCTGAGCCAGCTGCATGTGCTGCACAGGTCTTGAGACTAACACAGTGCATTATTGCAGATTGTAAAGTGTGTGCGTCTCTCAAGACAATCTAACAGTGTAGCCCGCCGCTTACGTAGGTCAGAGGTGGCTCTGAGGCTGGCTTGCATATAGCTCCCCATTCAACTTCTGACTACTTCTGACACTTCCTTCAGCCAAAACCCAGTGATATTGTCCTCCATTAGCTCTCATTTATGCAATTTGTGCTTTTAACTGATGAACGCATAAATAAGAAAATTATCAAAGTTGTTTGATCATGCAGACATAGAGTTAGCAAATAGCATATGTTCCTTCTGCTCTCTTTCATTTAAGTAAAGCAAACTTTTAGAATATGCAAAAAATATGGCAGGGTGGCATTACTATTTCATATTTGGATTATGAATTTGCATTCATAATTTGCACGCACTTTTCATTAGGAAGGGAGAAAAAGGCTTCCAAATTAAAGTCAGAAGCTATTCAATGGACAAGTCAAAAATGTTTTAATAAGCTGTTCTCTTTCATCCTTTACTGGCCTTTCTAACCAGCTTTCTACTGTACTGTATCATTTACTATTTAATTGTAGAGCAAGACTACAATGAGAGAATACACTTTCAGGTTTGTCATTCTGATAAAAATATAATTTCTACCCATTACAATTTTAACATGTAATCCAAATCCCTTATATTTTGAACACAGATGTTTAGCTACAGGGCCACATTCAATTTCCAATTTCACCTTAAAAGCGTATGATACAGATTAGTGAATTTATATCAGAAATGAGGAATCTGTAGATTTCTATTGCTGAATTTTGCATACTTGGCCAGACCAACTGGATCTATGGGAAACTTTAGTCCTGACATATCTGGAGAGTGAGTTCCCTATCCTGCTTTACAAACTGAATATTACTGAAACAAATCAAAGTTTGAAACAAACATCACTGAACCATACTAAATTGGATGCACTCATATTTTCTCTTTGGAGTAGTCTCCTCTGAATCAGTGCCTTCCAGAGATCCTGGACTTCCAACTCTTGATAAACCAACCAGTCTGAATTTAAAAGCAGCTCTTGTTCACCCTGTCTCCAACAGTTGAGCCTGGCATGAGTTGTAGACTATAGTAACCTATACTTTATTCTTGCTAACATATTAACATTTAGAAAACATAAAGTGGTCCCAGTAGCCTAGTATGAACAAAAGACTGAAATTTAACATGACAAAGAGGAATAATTTTCTCCTTTAAGGAGAACAAACTCACAAAGATCCCTTACTTCAAGTGAAAAGAAAATTAGATACAAAGCCAATTTAGATGTTAGACTAGAATATATAAAGTGGAAAATGCCCACTTTAAATGAGGAACCAAAATATTTGGAGATAAATGCAACACAGTATCATTGGCATGCACAACTATAGTGATCACTGGGCTCCTGGCCACAAGAGTACAAGAGCCCTGATCTAAGCAGGATTATGGGTTATATAACTCCCAGAATTGTTACATAGGGATAATAAAAGAAAGCAATGTAAATCATAGTGACCTTCACAATGGGAATATAGCATCTGATAAAAACATAGGGTGATCTTACTATGGTCTGACCCATTTCCTCTAAATTCTACATTCCTACAAGAGCTCCAAGCCACCCAATTCTTCTGATATAGCATCTTCTAACACAGTGTCCTTTATTGTAACCATGTAGGGGAAGGACAACTATCTGGTTTCTGTTGTCTCCTTCCCTTTCAGGTCATCAAGCTGTTTCAGTTCTTCCGCTGTGACTACATTTCAGCACCCTGAAGAAAGGGTGGAATGTTATTTGCTCCCCACTGCCCTGAGCAGAACACAGATCTTATTCACTACAGTATAAATACCAAGAATATCCAGTTAGCACTATGCAGGTGAGCAAAGGGGATTGGATCAGTTCAGTCTGTATACTTGGTCCACCTAGTTTTCTGAGTCTCCACAATGTAGTCAGCTATAAACTAATTCAACGGTAAGTTCACACAGCATGCTAGGCTAAAATGTGGTTAAATACTTGTGATTCTGTGTGTCCTATAAACACAATCAATGACCCATAAATCACTTCCAACTTCAACAAGGTCTGTGGTAAAACATTCATCAAAATTCTTTTGCAGGTGTTTAATGTGTTTAGCAGTAAAGAATGGTAAAAAAAAAAAAAAAAGCTATACCCAAAGGATGTGACCAAAGGTGCAAATGGATATAAAAAATATTGCCCTACTATTTGATAAAAATACTTTTATTATAGGTAACCGAAAGCCATGTAAACTTTTCCCTCAATAAATATCAAACTAATGCTGTACACTAGTGTGTCAGTATTACTGCCCCCTCAGAAATAAGCTCCAAGAGAGGCAGTCATTTTGTCAAAACAGACAACTAACATGTATTCATAAGAAAGGTACTGGAACCTGTCCCATCTCTTTCACGATCTGGGAATTAAACTATTTGTATCATGTAAAATGGATGCTGAAAGGTGTTCCTTATGTGAGTTTTCTTCCTGACACATTCCCATAAACATTTATCAGATGAAGCACCCAAATTACCAATCATTTCTATAAAACCTTCTAAACTACCAGCATGCATGTTCCACAGCAAATATATATTTTAAATGGAATGACCATACTGTATTTGCTGTTCAAAAATAAGAATGTACTTGAACTCCTCTGTGGTCACTAGACATTTACAGTGAGTGCCAATGTAAGTGTAAAGGGGCATTCTTCAGGATCAAGAATTCAATGACAGTTCAGTAAAAATATAGACCTCTGGAAATATTTTACTCTTCTGTTTCTGTGTTTTAAATAAATGATATTGTACCAAAGACTATGGTGGTTTCTTCTCAAATTCATTTGAGGACAACTGCTTTTTATTAAAGAATCAAAGGAAACCAGACGGACTTCAGAGATCAAGCAGTGTTAAATATGACCATCGTATAAATATAATTACAATGTCAGCATTAACAAATAGAAATTACAAAATTTGAGAGTCAGAGTGGATAACCCCCCCCTTTTTTTAATGTACACAATGGTAAGGATAGCAAGAACAGCTCATCCAGCCACATATTCCAGCTTGCCAGTCTCCTCAAGCCACTTCTGTAGACAGGAATTTAATCCAACTGAAACGAGAGAAAAGCAGTCAGTATGACATGTTAGCAACAAGCCTTATTCAGAACTAAAACCTTCTCCTCTTTAATGTGGTATGTATTTTGCATAAACAAGCATTTCCAGATGTTCATTCCATTTTCTTGACAGCTCCATCCCCTTTTAAGCTGGGATGACTGCCATTATACTCTGACCTGTGAAAAAGCCTGTCAATATGCCAGCCTTTCCCCACCTCAGCAGATGTGCAGACTTCAATTCCCAGACTTCCAAAGGCACCATCACCATTGCTGAGAGTATTGGGAGTTGAAGCCCACATACTGTATCTGGAGCAGGCCCAGATTATATACTCCAACATTCCTCAATCTCTGTTAAAATGCAAGCCCCAGGAGCAAAACTAATTCACTATTATGCAGCCCATTATCTAGAGCAACCCAAACATTTTTCACAATGGGTGGGGGCAGTTCCTTTCACTTAGTTTATTATGATTAGTGGTTTAGCAAACACAGGAATAATGGCTTCAAACAATATGAAAAATTAAACAACATTTCAATCCTTTACTATTTTAAATATCTGAACTGGTCCTTTCCTTTTCCCTCTCACAGACAATTTCCCCCTCTCCTTATTTGCGGCTTCTGAACATCCAAATAGTCCTATTTAATTCTATGTATATAAACTCTGTGTGTGTGTGTGTGTGTGTAGTAGAGTATATATAAACACACACACACATTATGTACTATATATTCTACATAGTGTATATACTATGTATGTATACCAGTCTCCTAAAACTATGGACCTTCAACCTGTCTTAATTCGTTTAGAATAACATAACCCAGAATCCACTTCGTGCCACATATTTAACTAGTAAGTTCTCTAAATCGGAAAACCATACAAGCCATCAAGTTTACTTTCCTAGCCTGGACTTGACCCTTAGAGCCAGGAGAGCGATGAGCAGGTCATGGGCACTGCCAGCCAAGCGGCGGCCCCAACGAAGGGGGTGCCAGCCGGGGAAGAGCGCATGGCTGGGGGCCGCCCGCTCACCTTAATGAAGCCGATGTCCTTGGCGTACTGGCGGAAGCACTGCCGGCACATGTTGAGGCCGTACTTGCGGATCAGCCCGTGACGGTTGGAGCACACGCGGCTGCGGAAGGAGAGAACCCGCGTGAGCCGAGCCGGGCCGGGCCGCTCCCGCCCCCCTCGTCCCAGCAGCAGCAGCAGCCGCCCCCTCCTTCCTTCCCTCCCTCCCTCCCTCCCTCCC